AGTGTGGTGACGTTGTGATCCACCCTGGGCTTGCGTTGCTTTGCTGGACTGGTCTTGTGACCCTTTGTTCTCCCCCACTTTGCCTATGGGGGTGTGTTAAAGTGTAATGTGTTATATGTTGGTAGGCTGTAGTGGGGTAGCCAATATGGGGTACAACCCCAACTAGGGTTTGCTACTTGTACCCAACTGTTCCATTCAATGCATTCATTCTTGCCTAGTGATTCTCACACGTACAGCTCGCGCGCGGCCCGTACAGGCGGCGTCAGGCCCGCGCGCGGCCCGTACGGGCTGCGCCAGGCCAGCGCGGGGCGCGGGCAGCCTGCGCGCGCCTCGTCCGTCCCCCTCTCGCCGTCCCCCGCGCTCCTGCCCCTATCCCACCCGTCTTAGGGTTTGGGGATGTGGAGTGTGGGGGTGGCGGGTGTGGGGGTGCCGGGTGTGTGCCCCGTCCCTCCTTCTCCTCCTCCTCCGTCTCCCGCTGCTGCAGCTGCCGCTCAGGGGGGTGGTTGTGTGGGGAGCCGAAGGAGTGGTCCTAGGGGGGTGAAGGGGGAGTGGAGCTAGGGGCGCAGCAGGGGGGTGTGTCGAGGGGTGTGGGACTGTTGGGGGAGGTTGAGCGGAGGTTGTCGTCGTGTCGTACGCAGCGCCTGTACTCCGGGGCACTCATTCCGGTAGCTCAGAGAGCCGGTTGCGCCGTCGCCTGTGGGTCCGTTGCTCCTGCCGCGCATATTAGCGCGGAGCCTGTTACTCCTGTACTCCGGGGCACTCATTCCCGGTAGCCACGTTGTCGCACCAGAGCCGTCTGTTGCCCGTGTGTCTGCATCTTCAGTCGTCGCCTCCTATCTACTCTCCTCTCACCAGCCCTCCTCCTCCTCACTTGCCCCCTGTGACTGCCTCTAGCTTTGCTCATAATTGTGAACCTTAAACTATTGCTTCTTGCTTGTGCTCAGAATGTGTGGTGACATCGTGATCCACCCTGAGCTTGTACTACTTTGCTTGCTCTGCTGATTACACCCCACTTTGGCTATGGGGGTGTGTCAGAATATTATGCTCTAGCCTGCAGTGGGGTACTCTATAGCGAGTACAACCCAATTAGGGTTTCCTATATGTATGCCAACTGCTGCTAGTGCAAACCCTCCTTTCTTCATTCTTACTTTCTAAAGCTAGTTCTGACACATTCTCTCTTGAATGGCTGGTGCAGTGTTACCGAAGCGTAATAAAGCGCTAACTGGATTGTCGATGTTGGAAGAGCGGTTAATTTCACCACGTCTTGTGTTTTCAAGCATTACACAAGGTCACGTGGGAAAACAATACAAGATTCGGGGTGGGATAGTGAATGTTCCGGTTAAAGTTGTTGACATGGTGACTGCATTACCGAGATTACCACAGGAAGCGCACTCAGTGCGTGTTCGTTTCAAACGCAAATTGCGTAACACACATAACCTATTTGAAGACAATGTCAGGCCAGCCAAGATTTTGCACGCCCTTTCGTTTCTTAAAAAGAAAGACCTTTTCAAAGAACATCGAATCGCATTGGATGAGGAAAGGATGTCTGAATTGCGACAAAAGCTTATTGATCGAGAACTTCATAATGAGTTCTTATCACACGATCAAAACACGGATGGTGCAGAAGCTCGTGAAGGGGACACTGCTTTGTCTGACGAGGAAGTGGAGTTAGATATCGACGAAACTGACCTTAATGTCGGCATTTTGGATACGATCCTTTGTAATGAGCCTTTATACCAAAACTTGGAGCAATTCGTCGTGGAGATGACACCAGGCGAAGGATCAAGACGGATGCCCATCCTTATGGACAAACACGTCGAGGAATTGGCCTTTCCGACTTTATTTTCCGGCGTTGACACGTCATCGTTAAAGCCCGAGTCCCAAATTGCGGGCCGCGCGGGTCAAGCTTTTAAAACTTGACGAACTAGTGTTTTCAAGGTTTGAAGAAAAGCGTGCCTGCAATTTGGGACTTTTGGGAACTGAACCAACCCCAGGGCGAAATACGAGGGCGGGCTGGGTTTGGCGAAAAAAAAACGAAAAAAAGCGAAATCAGAATCTTTCGCCAAAACCCTCACCACAAAAACCTCCTCGCGTCAACCTTTTAAAACTTGTGCAATTTGGGCTGCCGGCTTTAAGCTACCGCAAAGTTGCAAAGTAGGAGCTACTTAACAAAGATGCGCGTTTCTCTTCGTGCCCACAAAACATTTTTTATTTTATGTTCAAGTTGGAATTGCTTCAAATGGACAACGTAATTGGTACTCGCGTGCGACGATAGATGATGGAGCACGTTAGTCAGTATTCAGCAAAGGATATTATGGACAATGCCATACGACGATTGCTACAAAAAAAGGATGCATTGTTCAACGAGTTTAAAAGCCTTCGGGTATCGCCGCATTACTTGGAAGATTGCAGGCATGATCCATTCGCAATGATTCGGCAATTAGGTCCGCCAACATTCTTTATGAGAATCTCTGTGGCGGATACAAAATGGACAGACCTGCACGCGATTTTGCTAGAGCACAACAGAGACACAGGAAATCTTGATAACCTCTCAAACACCAACATAAACCCTCCTTTGGATTTTGAAACCATAGCATTACTCGTACGTACATATCCGGTCGTATGCGCAAGATATTACGTCGAACGAAAGAATGCACTATTCCGAGAGATGCTAACGAGGAAAACTGGCATTCTTGGTATAGTCGTCGACTATTTTGTTCTCGACGAGTTCCAGCATCGAGGCGCTCCTCATTCTTATTGTCTTATATGGAGTGAGTTTTTAACATGTGATGCGGCAATTCCCCTGGAAAGGATTCTTGAATTCGCAGATAAACACATTTCGTGTCATGCTCAAGAGCTCATTGAAGATACACAAACAGAAGATCTTTTAAGAGTGCAAACTCACATTCATACTAGAACGTGCAGATTAAATAAAGGCGGTAAGATTCGAAAGTGCCGCTTTGGTATACCAAAATATCCACTTCCTAAAACGTTGGTGCTGATGCCTTTCGACAAGAAATGCTCGGATGCGGATCTAGAACGTCATAGGTCGAACAAAGCAACTGGCGATCAATTCCTGAATACGCTTGGAAAACATCGTTTGATTGAAACCTCTAACCTAACATTTGCGGCATTTTTTTATACGGTTCGCCTAACATTCGATGAATATATAAATTGCCTTCGGGTAGGTTTGAAAAAAACAACGATGTTTCATGCAAGAGAAATAACGGATTGCTGCGTAAATAATTTCAACAAGACAATTCTATCGGTTTGGCGTGGCAATATAGATATTCAATTATGTGTTGATCCATATAGTGTTGCTGTCAGAATGAACGGACAGGAATGATGAACTAACAAGGATTGTGAGTACAAATATGAAACCCTAATGTTGTGACCCCCCTATAGGCTAACCCACTACAGCCTACACAAATACAACATGTATAATGTTTGACACACCCCCATAGGCAAAGTGGGGGAGACCTAGGGGTCACAAGACCAGTCAAGGCAAAGCAAGGCAACAACAAGCTCAGGGTGGATCTCAAGGATTCCACACAAATTCCGAGCACAAGCTAGTGGTCACAAGACCAGTTCACATGCAGGTTTATAACAGAGCAAGAGATACAGTGATCACAACCTAGCAAGAGTAAACATGCAGGTATAGATATATATAGTGATCACAGTACAAGCAAAGTCAAGAGGTAAGTAAGTGAGGTCCAGTAGGCACAAGGCCTAGTAGAGTGCAGAGGCGCTGATGGTCACGAGGCTGAAGCGCCTTGGTGAACACATCAGCAGTGTTGGCCTCAGTGGCCACGTAGCGAATACAAAGCTGACCGCGCTGCTGCAGCTCACGAGCAAGGAAGTACCGCAGGGCGATGTGCTTCGTTCTGTGCTCCAGTCTGTGCTCCTCACACAAGGCAATGGCAGCCTTGTTGTCGACGTACAGTACTGGAGGAGAACGAGGCTGCTCTCCGAGGTCGGTCAGCAGGTAGGTCTCTCCTGGGCAGCCATGGCTGCGTAGATCTCAGGCAGCCGAGAACAGAAGAAGAGCGTGTAGAGCGCAAGAAACTGAGCCAGAGCCAAGGCTGAAGGTGTAACCCTGAGACGACCACTGAGTGGCCTGGTCGTCTGCCCAAGAAGCGTCTGAGTGCCCTGTGAGAACAACTCGGTCTCGCCCTCCAAGCACAAGCCCCATGCCCGACGTACTGCACAAGTAGCGCAACACCCTCTTAGCGGCATCCATGTGCTCCTTCCTGTGACGGCCAGGAGCGACATAGCGTGCAAGGATGCTAAGAGGGTATGCAAGGTCAGGTCGAGTGCAGGTCATCAGGTACATGAGGCAGCCCACAAGCTCTGGATACGGGCCACTCGGCTCTACGGACTCATCCGAAGGCAGAGCTGAGAGCGAGTGACCGGTAGGCAGAGGAGTGGACTGAGGCGAGGAGTACGTGAAGCCGAAGCGCTGGAGAACCTGCTGCACCATGTGTGACTGAGTCAGGGTGATGGTGCGCCGTGCTCTGTCCCGGGTGATCCGCAAGCCAAGATAGCTTGTCAGCTCACCCAGGTCTGTGCACGTGTGTCTCCTCTGCAGCTCCGACTTCACGTAGGCGAGTCCTGCAGTGTCAGCAGTGGCAAAGACCAAGTCGTCGACGTACACGAGGATGTAGAACGGCGGAAGCGAAGTGTCGGTGCGCAAGAACAGCGACGGTTCAGCTGTACAAGGCGCGAACCCAAGAGCCGCAAGTGTAGTCCTCAGTGTGTCGTGCCACTCACGCGGAGCCTGGCGGAGACCGTAGACCGGCCGCTGAAGCCTCCACTGGGTACCAGGAGGAAACGACCCAGTGAAGCCAGGCGGCCGCTTCACCCTGAAAATCCACATGCCACTGACGATGTTCGCCCCAGGAGGGGGAACCTCGTCGACGTAGGTGCGTGTGGACTTCCAGGAAGCCATCTCGGCGTCCATGGCTGTCTGCCACTGAGAGGAGTAGGGACCCGCCATCGCCTCAGCGTAAGTGCGCGGGGGTCGGGATGTCTGGTGCATCCGGGTCTCCCTCAGGGGCAACTAGCAAGGACACGAGACGGGGCAAAGCAGCAGCAAGACTCTGGAACTCCTCCTGTCTGTCCTCAAGGACGTCCGTGCCAAGAGCACACTCACCCCCGACGGACGGAGGACAGACAGACTCAGACTCAGCAACCAGGCTAGCAGCGTAGTCTAGACGACAGGTAGCAGCAAAGTCAACCAACTCAGCGACCAGAGCAGACGCAGCCGAGGACTCAAAGGCAGGGTCAGTGACAACAGTAGCAAGGAGACGCGTGACAGTAGGGTGCTCAGCACGATACCGGTCAGACTCAGGGTCCGGAACGTGAGGCAAAGAGGACGCAGGAGGAGACGGTAGAGGGACACGCCGAGGAGCAGTAGAGGGACGCAGAGTCATGTAGTGAGTGCCTGGGACAGGAGGAGGACGCTCACGACGGACACGACTACCAGTGCGAGCAGGACGAACAGGCGACGCAGGACGAGACTCAGGCTCACGACGCTCGGTAAGACCTCCTGTGGGACCAGTGTAAGGAGAGGGAGCAGGGAGAGGCGAGGTAGGCGGTAACTGTGACTGCGGCTGGACAGGCGGAGGACACTCTACGGAGGGAGGAGGACAAGGAGGAGGAGCCTGCCCAAGAACCTGCTGAAGGAGCGGTACGAAGTACGGTCGCGGCCGTGCAGCATCTCCAGAAGCAGAGGAGACTCCAGCGGCCGGGTCCACAGCACCAGCAGCAGCTCCACCGGCCGGGTCCTCAGCACCAGGAGTAGCTCCAACGCCCGGGTCCTCAGCAGCAGCAGCAGCGCCACCGCCCGGGGCCTCAGCTCCAGCAGCAGCTCCACCGTCCGAGTCCTCAGTACCAGCAGCAGCTCCACCGTCCGGGTCCTCAGCACCAGCAGCAGCGCCACCGCCCGGGTCCTCAGCTCCAGCAGCAGCTCCAACGTCAGAGTCCTCAGCACCAGCAGTAGCTCCACCTGGCGGGTCCGCAGTACCAGCAGCAGCTCCCACGTCCGGGTCCTCAGCACCAGCAGCAGCGCCACCCCCAGGGTCCGCAGCACCAGGAGCACCACTCCGAAGACTGCAGCGCCGTGTGTACCACTCGCGGATCTGCTGAATGGGGGGGAGCTCCTGGGTAGGAGGGGAAGTACCGGGACGAGCTCCAGCAGCACCTCTCCGGAGGCGGCAGTACTCGAGGTACCTCTCCTGCAGCTGCTGGGAGGAAAGGGCTCCTCCAGGTGTAGCACGCTCAGGCTCAGCACCCCCAGACGTAGCAACCCCAGACCCAGCACCCCCAGGCTCAGCACCTCCAGGCTCCGCACCTCCAGGCTCCGCACCTCCTGGCTCAGCACCCCCAGGCTCCGCACCCCCAGACTCAGCACTCCCAGGCTCAGCACCCCCAGACCTAGCACCCCCAGGCTCAGCACCCCCAGACGCAGCACCCCCAGGCTCAGTACCCCGAGCAGGACGAGAGTCAATAGCTACCTCGACAGGCTCACCCGGGTCTACCTGGGACACACCTGAGGGAGCGGCACCCTGAGGGGGGAGGGGGTCTGGTACCTCAGCACCTGGAGCGAGGAAGAGGGGCGGGGGGGGGAGCGGGGCAGTGCGGTAGGGGAAGAGGTGGTAGTAGGGGAAGGACTCGTCAAAAGTGACGTCCTGAGAGGCCAGGACACGCCGCGAGGTGGGGTGGTAGAACTGCCAACCAGGGGCGTCCGGGACAAAGCCAAGGAAGACGCAGGGGACAGCGCGACGGGAGAGCTTGTCCGCGGACGTGTCGCGGACAAAAGCTCGGGATCCCCAGACCCGAAAACGAGACGCATCGCCAGCCTCTCCCGTCCAACGCAGTGTCGGAGAAGTCTCGGGCAAGGAGACACGGGGCCAGAGGTTGAGCTGATGCGCAGCGTATCGGACTGCAAACGGCCACAGAAAGTGGGGGGCAGCCGCATGAACCAAGGAGGTACGAGCGACCTCCATGACCAAGCCAATGCGGCGCTCAGCAACCCCATTCTGCTGTGGAGAGGCCGGAAGCGTGTACGACTGCTCAATGCCCTCCTGCTGACAGAAGGCCTCCAAGAGGCCAGAGGTAAACTCCCCACCTCTGTCAGAGTGCAGACGCAGGACAGGGAAGTCGGAGCGGAAACGCTCACTGAGCTGGAGACGAGATCTGCGGATCCAGGGGATCAATACATCAGGGACGTCACCCTTGGCGCGCAAAGGGAAGACCGTGGTGAAGCGCGAGAAGTCGTCAACAACAATCAGGAAGTACCTCTCCTGACCCTGGCCACGGACGCGGGCTGGGCCCCACACGTCCAAGTGGAGCGTCTGCAAAGGAGCAGTCGTCGGGGGAAAGGAGGAGGAGTGAGGAGCGGCGCGCTGCCGCCCCTCGACACAGGGAATACAGGGAGGAGCAGGCGAGTCTGGAAGGGGAGGGAGTACCCTGGGAAGACCAGCAACAAGGTCCCGTTTGTGCATGGCCCGAAGGCGCTGCACAGACGGGTGACCAAGGCGGTGGTGCCAAAGAACAGTTTCATGCGCCAGAGAGCGACACGAGCAGGGGGCGGACAGCTGACCTGACGCAGACGCAGACGCGGACGCAGCTACCTGAGGGGACTCAGTGGTCAGTGTGTAAAGGTCCGACCCCGGCTCCCGAGTGAAGGTAGCCAGGTGGCGACCCGTCCGAGCACACGTGCAGTGTGTCACGCGCTCGTAGGCAGGGGTGAACTGGTGAACACCCCCGTCCTGGAGCGCACTACCTGCCACCAAGTTCGTAGAGAACGAGGGGAGGTAGAGACCTGACAGCGTGCCGGACGGGACCGCCGGACAAGGAAGGACAGTGGAGGAGGTCGCAATGGCCGGACCCCCAGAGGGGTCAGCAAGGGAGACAGCAACTGGCCGAGCGAGTGGCTCAAGGACAGTGCGGTCACGAAAGAAGGAGCGAGAAGCACCTGAGTCCAGTGTGAAGGTGTGCAGTGCTGCAGTCGACTCAGTACCAGGGGGCACGAGCACCTAGGGCTGCAGCCTCACCAGGACCTGTGGGAGCAGACGCACTAGCACCTAGAGCGGCAGCCGGACTGGCCTGAATGCCCGGGTCGGGCGGAACACACAAGTACTGAGTACCCTCTCCACTAATAGACATCGCATACATGGCAGTGAGAATAGCATCAAAGTCTAAAGCCCAAATATCAACACCCCTATTTTCCAGATCAGCCCAGCGCGGCAGCTCAGTGGCAGCAGGAAACTGAGTGCGCCACGCGTCGTTAAGGCGCGCGAAGCAGCGCTGCGTGGGGTGCGGCCTCCCACACTGCTGGCCGCTGCGGTCACCTGTGCGAATGACGTACGTGCAGGTAAAGCTACGCTGCGCATACCACTCACGGGCGGCCTGAAGCGTCGGGGCGGGCTGCTGACTCTGCCCTCCGCCAGTGCCTCCACGACCACCACCCCCACCGCCGCCGCCCCGGCCACCTCCACCCCTGCCGCCGCCACGACCACCTCCGCCTCCGCTGCCGCCTCCACCACCACTCCCACCGCTGCTGTCTCCTCCCCCACTGCCGCCACTAGTCTCCCCAGCCGCGCCTCCACTTCCACCGCCTCCACCCCCACCTCCTCCGCCGCCACCCCCACCCCTGCCCCCCTTGTTCCTGCGGCGCCCGCTCGAAGCAGACGCGGTCCCGACCTTCTCAGCACCAAGAAGGTCGACAGCAGCAGCAGAGGCGACAGAGGGGAGGAGGGGGAAGGGGAACACCCCTCAAAGAACGGGGTGCGGGGGTCGCCACGAGAGGTGCCTACAGCGACGATGCTCGCCTCAGCTGCAAGCAGTTCCTTCTCGAGGAGGGCAACAGTGAGCTCAGTGGGGGAGCGAGAGAGGAAGTGGTCCCTGACTGCGCGCAGAGAGTCAGGGAGGCGGGTGACGATGTGGTAGAGAGTGATCCAGAGCGTGGGGGGGTTGCTAGTGAGAAACTCGGCAGGCATAGCAGCGCGAAAGCGGGCCTCACTAGTCTTAAGGTGGGTGATGAGGTCTGCGACAGTGTGAAAGGAGGCTAGGTCGGGGAACAGGTAGGGGAGAGTGAGGCGGCCTAGCGTGGCAGAAGCGGGTGAGGAGTAGCGGGCAACTACAGCAGTGTAGAGGTCCTTAGCAGTCTTGCACTGGCCGAAGTGCTCGCGCTCGTCTAGCGGCAGGGAGTTGCGAATAGCAAAGCGAGCGTGCGCATCACGGGTCTGCCACTGGGAACGCAGAGTGCTGTCAGCAGACGAGTCAGGGGCAGTGGCATGGCCTAGGGCATGGCCTAGGGCGTGAGATATCTTCCTTGGCAGTGAGCTGTAGGAACAGGTGCAGGTCATCTAGCCAGGTTTCGAACTTCACTGGACGGCCCTCGGCATCGAAAGCTAGAACTGGCGGACTAGCCATAGTGACAGTAGCAGTAGCAGTAGTAGCAGTAGTAACAGTAGTAGTAGGAATCAGGCCGCTGGAAAGGTGTGCGGAGGGTCAACGGGGCCGGCGGGGCCGCTAGGCAAGGCGCGGGCGGGGTCGACTGTCCGTAGTGGCACACGAGCGGCAGTAGTAGGTAGCGTGGCAGCAGGAGCTGCAACGGTGCACTGGTGGCAGTTGCAGTGGTAGCAGTGTGCGCGGTAGGTAGAAAATAAACAACAGTGAGAGCGAGTGCCTCGCGGGCGGCGGCTGCAGAAGCACACGGGCGGCAGCGGCGCACGGGGAACAGCAGCGTAGGAGCAGCGACGGCACACGGGCAGCGGCGGCGCACAGGCAGCGGCGGCGCTCGGGAGGCAGCGGTGCGCAAGCAGCAGCGGAAGCAGCGGCGTACGAGCGGCTGCGGGCAGCGGGGCGTGCGCGAGCAGGCGACGGGCGGCTGCGGGGCGTGCGCGAGCAGGCGACGTGCGGCAGCGGGCGGGCGGCCGCTGCGACAGCGGGCTGCGGGCCTGCGGGACGTGCGCGAGCAGGCGACGGGCGGCTGCGGGGCGTGCGCGAGCAGGCTACGAGCGGCTGCGGGGCGTGCGCTAGCAGGCGACGGGCGGCTGCGGGGCGTGCGCGAGCAGGCGACGGGCGGCTGCGGGGCGTGCGCGAGCAGGCGACGGGCGGCTGCGGGGCGTGCGCGAGCAGGCGACGGGCCGCGCGCGAGGGAAATAAGGCGCGCGCGGGCAGCAGGCGGGGCGCACGTATGAAAAACGACCGCGCGCGAGCGGCTAAGGGGCGGCGCGACGGGGCCTAAGGGGTGGGTCGCGGGTCGCGGGAGGTAGGGGCCGTAAAAAAAATTCGAGGCGCCCTAGGTAGGTAGGTAGGTAGGTAGGGAACGGTGGGCCCTTAAAAAAAAAAAAACCGGTCCTAGCGAAGGACCTGCTCTGAAACCATGTCAGAATGAACGGACAGGAATGATGAACTAACAAGGATTGTGAGTACAAATATGAAACCCTAATGTTGTGACCTCCTATAGGCTAACCCACTACAGCCTACACAAATACAACATGTATAATGTTTGACAACGCCACCCCCCTCGTACTACTCCGACGGCTCCAACACATCCACCCCCCTCAGCGGTAGCTGCAGCAGTGGGAGACGGAGGAGGAGGAGGAGCAGGGGACGGCTCACACACCCGGCACCCCCATACTCTCCACCCCCAAACCCTAACACAGGAGCGTAGGCAGCAGCGGGGGCGGGGCGCGGTCAGAAGCTCGGGGGACGGCGTGCAGCACTGGGGCAGACTGTACGGGCCGCGCACGGGCCTGGCGCAGGCCGGACGAACCGCGCGCGGGCTGCCCGGGCAGCGCGCGGGCCTGGCACAGCCCGTACGGGCCGCGCGCGGGCCTGGCGCAGGCCGTACGGGCCGCGCGCGGGCCTGGCGCAGCACGTACGGGTCGCGCGCCGGCCTGGCGCAGCCCGTACGGGCCGCGCGCGGACCTGGCGCAGGTCGCGCGGGCCGCGTCGGGCGACGGGGGGCGACGCGCGGGTCTCCGGGGGCGCCTCGACGGGCGACGGGAGGGCGACGCGCGGGTCCCCGGGGCAGAAAACCGCCGCGCGCCTCGGGGCGCACGGCGGGCAGAAACCGCCGCGCTTTCGGAGTGCATGGCGAGCAGAAAACTGTCGCGCGCCACGGGGCACGCGACACACAAGACAGCAGCGGATGCATCGGGCGGGACCACCCACAGGATCGACCCAGGAGGGTCGACCTGCTCTGATACGATGTCGAAACACTAGGCAAGAATCAGAATCAGGAAAGAAGGGTTTTTACTAGCAGGTAGTTGAGTAAATATAGCATGTCAACAAGACTAGGCAAGAATGGTGCATTGAATGAGAAAGTTGGGTACAAGTAGCACACCCTAGTTGGGGTTGTATCCCATATTGGCTACCCCACTACAGCCTACCAACATGTAACACATTACAATTTAACACACCCCCATAGGCAAAGTGGGGGAGAACAAAGGGTCACAAGACCAGTCCAGCAAAGCAACGCAAGCCCAGGGTGGATCACAACGTCACCACACTCCGAGCACAAGCAAAGGCCACAAGGCCAGTTCACATGCAGTGCTAGATATAGTACAAGACAGGCAACACAGTGATCAAAACCTAGCAAGCAAGCAACAAGATATATATAAAGTACAGTACAAAGAAAGTCAAGCAGTAAGCAAATGAGGGAACGTGGACACAAGGCCTAAAGAAGTACAGTGCCGCTGATGATCACTAGGCGGGAGCGCCTTGGTGAAGATATCAGCAGTGTTGGCCTTCGAGTCCACGTACACAAGCCGAAGCTAACCGCGCTGCTGCAGCTCTCGAGCAAGAAAGTAGCGAAGAGCAATGTGCTTCGTCCTGTGCTCCAGTCTGTGCTCCTGACACAAGGCAAGGGCCGCCTTGTTGTCGCCGTACAGAACTGGAGGAGAACTAGGCCGCTCTCCCAAGTCAGTCAGCAGGTAGGTGAGCCAGCGTAACTCCTGTGCAGCCATGGCCGTGGCGTAGATCTCAGCCTCACAACTAGAGCTGAGAACAGAAGAAGAGCGGGTGGACCGCCACGAGACAGAACCAGAGCCAAGGCTGAAGGTGTAACCCTGCGACGACCGCTGCGTAGCCAGGTCGTCCACCCAAGAAGCGTCCGAGTGACCAGTGAGGACAACTCTGTCGCGTCCTCCAAGCACCAGCCCCATGCCTGATGTACTGCACAAGTAACGCAGCACCCTCTTAGCAGCCTCCCAGTGCTCTCGCCTGTGTCTCCCTGGCGCAACGTAACGAGCAAGGATGCTAAGAGGGTACACGAGGTCAGGTCGCGTGCAAGTCATCAGGTACATGAGGCAGCCTACAAGCTCTGGGTACGGGCCACTCGGCTCTACGGACTCGTCCGAAGGTGGAGCTGAGAGCGAGTGGCTGGTAGCCAGAGGTGTGGCCTGTGGTGAGGAGAACTGGAAGCCGAAGCGCTGCAGGACCTGCTGCACCATGTGTGACTGAGTCAGGGTAATGGTGCGGCGTGCTCTGTCCCGGGTGATCTGCAAGCCAAGGTAGCTACGCAGCTCACCCAGGTCAGTGCAGGTGTGTCTCTTCTGCAGCTCCGACTTCACACGAGCGAGTGCCTCAGTGTCAGCAGTAGCAAAGACCAAGTCGTCGACGTACACGAGGATGTAGAACGGCGGCAGCGACGTGTCTGTGCGCAGGAACAGTGACGGGTCAGCAGTGGAAGGAGCAAACCCAAGGGCCGCAAGTGTAGTCCTCAGTGTGTCGTGCCACTCGCGTGGCGCCTGGCGGAGACCGTAAACTGGCCGCCGGAGGCTCCACCGGGTACCAGGAGGAAACGACCCAGTAAAGCCAGGTGGGCGGCGCAGCCAGATCTCCTCGTGCAGGCTGCCCTGCAAGAACGCTGTGCTGAAGTCAAGAGAGTGAAGCTCGTAGTCACGCTGAACGGCAACGTGCAGCAGAACCCGAAGAGTGGTCATCTTCGGGTGGGGGAGAAGGTCTGGAAGAAGTCAACCCCCTGACGCTGACTGAAGCCTCTAGCAACGTAACGAGCCTTGAAGACAGGTGGAGAACCTGGCGGCCGCTTCACCCTGAAAATCCACATGCCATCGACGATGTTCGCCCCAGGAGGGGGAACCTCGTCAACGTAGGTGCATGTGGACTTCCAGGATGCCATCTCTGCGTCCATGGCTGTCTGCCACTAAGAGGAGTAGGGGCCCGAGATCGCCTCTGCGTAAGAGCGCGGAGTGGGGATGTCTAGTGCATCCGGGTCTCCCTCAGGGGCAAGCAGCCAGGCCACGAGATGAGGTACAGCAGCTGCAAGAGATTCAAGGTCCTCCTGCCTGTCCTCAAGGACGTCCGTGCCAAGAGCACACTCACCCCCGACGGACGGAGGATAGACAGACTCAGACTCAGCAACAAGACTGGCGGCGTAGTCTAGACGACAGGCAGCAGCAAAGTCGACAAGCTCAGCGACCAGGGCAGACGCAGCAGCAGACTCAAAAGACGGGTCAGTGACAACAGTGGCGAGAAGACGGGTAACAGTAGGGTGGGCAGCACGAACACTGTCAGACTCAGGGTCGGGAACGTCAGGAAGAGAAGACGCAGGAGGAGACGGTAGGGGGACACGCTGTGGACCAGTGGAAGGACGAAGGGCCATAATGTGTGTGCCAGGAACAGGAGGAGGACGCGGACGCGCGACACGACGACCAGTGGGACCAGTGCGCGCAGTGCGAGCAGTGCGAGCAGCGCGAACAGGCGAGGCAGGACGAGACACAGGCTCACGACGCTCCGTAAGCGAGTCCGGCTGTGCAGTGTAAGGCACAGGAGCAGGGAGGGGGGAGCCAGGCTGGAGGGGAAGGCCAGTGGAAGACGGGAGGGAAAGAACCTGGCGAAGCACCGTGTCAGGCGGTGGCAAAGCCGACGGCGACGGTGGAGCGAAGAACAGTCGCGACGGCGGAGCTCCGCCAGCACCTCCAGCACCCGCAGCACCAGAAGCACCAGTACCAGCACCCCCCGACGCAGCACCCCCAGAGCCGGCGACGTCAGCACCAGAGGCCCCAGCAGCGGCAGACCTCCCCTCGCCAGCACCTCCAGAACCAGCAGGACCAACACCTCCAGGACCGTCAGCTCCAGTGTCGTCAGCTCCAGCAGCTCCAGCACCTCCAGGAAGAGCACCCCCAGAGCCGGCAGCTCCAACTCCGCTAGGACCGTCAGCTCCAGAGGCCCCAGCTCCAGCAGCTCCAGCCTCAGTGCTCCCAGCCCCGGCAGCTCCAGTACCCCCAGTACGAGCACCTCCAGGACAAGCAGCTCCAGAACCTCCAACTCCAGCGGGACCACGAGGAAGGCGAAAGCGCTGGACGTACCAGTCACGAAGCTGCTGTTGTATGAGAGGCTCCCGGAGAGCCGGCTCAGCACCCCGAACCGGAGCACCCCCAGACGCAGCAACCCCAGGCTCCGTAGGCTCAGTCGCAGCACCCCCAGGCTCAGGACCCCCAGACTCAACACCCGAAGGCTCAGCGCACCCAGGCCCGACAGCTCCAACCCCGCTAGCACCGCCAGCTCCAGCAGCTCCAGCCTCAGTGCTCCCAGAACAACCAGCCCCGGCAGCTCCAGTACCTCCAGTACGAGCACCTCCAGGACGAGCAGCTCCAGAACCTCCAACTCCAGCAGGGCCACGAGGACGGCGAAAGCGCCAGACGGACCAATCACGAAGCTGCTGCTGTGTGAGAGACGGCTCAGCACCCCGAACCGGAGCACCCCCAGACGCAGCAACTCCAGGCTCCGCAGGCTCAGTCGCAGCACCCCCAGGCTCAGTACCCTCAGGCGCAGCACCCCCAGGCTCAGTACTCTCAGGCACCGTACCCTCAGCTCCAGCACCCTTAGTCCCCGCACCCGCAGCCCCAGCACCCCCAGCCCCAGCACCCCCAGGCTCAGCACCCCCAGGCTCAGCACTCCCAGCAGCACCACCCGCAGCAGCACCTGAGTCACCTGTGACCTCGACAGGCTCAGCGACGGGAGGAGGGTCTACCTGAAAGACACCTGAAGGAGCAGGACCCTGAGGGGGAAGGGGGTCTACCGGAGGGGGACCAGGAGCGAGGAAAAGCGGCGGGGGAGGGAGGGGGGCAGTGCGGTAGGGGAAGAGACGGTAAAAAGGGACCGACTCGTCAAAGGTGACGTCCTGAGAGGCGAAGACCCGGCGCGAGGTGGGGTGGTAAAACTGCCAGCCAGGCGCGTCAGGGACAAAGCCAAGGAAGACACAGGGGACAGCGCGGGCGGAGAGCTTGTCCGCGGTGGTATCGCGGACAAAGGCACGAGAACCCCAGACCCGGAAACGCGACGCATCGCCAACCTCCCCCGTCCACAGCAGTGTGGGCGAGGTCTCCGGCAAGGAGACACGGGGCCAGAGGTTAACCTGATGCGCGGCGTACCGGACCGCAAACGGCCACAGAAAATGGGGGGCAGCCGCATGGACCATGGAGGTACGAGCGACCTCCATGACCAAGCCAATGCGGCGCTCAGCAATCCCATTCTGCTGCGGAGAGGCCGGAAGCGTGAACGACTGGGTGATGCCGTGCTCCGCACAGTAGGCTGCCAAGAGGTCGGAGGAAAACTCACCACCTCTGTCAGAGTGCAGACGCAGGACGGGAAACTCTGTCCCGAACCGCCGGCGGAGCTGGAGACGAGCAGCGCGGATCCAGGGGATCAAAACAGTAGGGACCTCACCCTTGGTGCGCAAGGGGAAGACCGTGGTGTAACGCGTGTAGTCGTCGACGACCAGCAGGAAGTACCGCTCGTGGTCCTGTCCACGGACGCGGGCTGGGCCCCACACGTCCAGGTGGAGAGTCTGCAAGGGAGCCTCTGTGGGAGGGAACGAGGAGGAGTGAGGAGCGGCGCGCTGCCGCCCCTCGACACAGGGAAGACAGGGAGGAGCAGGCGAGGGTGGGAGGGGAGGGAGAACTCTGGGAAGACCAGAGACAAGGACACGACGGTGCATGCTGCGAAGGCGCTGCACCGAGGGGTGACCAAGGCGGTGATGCCAAAGGAGGGTCTCGTGCGACAAGGCGCGACACAAGCAGGGGGCCGACGGCTGACCTGACGCAGACGCAGACGCAGCTACCTGAGGGGACTCAGTGGTCAGGGTGTACAGGCTCGAGCCAGGCTCACGGGTGAAAGTGGCCAGGTGTCGGCCCGTCCGAGCACACGTACAGTGAGTCACCCGCTGACGCGCAGGAGTGAACTTGTCAACCCCCCCATCCTGGAGGTCAGCTCCACTCACCAGGTTCGTAGAGAACGAGGGGAGGTAGAGACCTGACAGCAAGCCAGACGGGGCGGCCGGACACGGCAGAACCGTAGAGTAGTGGGCAAGGACTGGACCCCCATAGGGGTCGGCCAGGGAGACTGCAACCGGCCGACGAAGCGGCGTAAGTGTGGTGCAGTCGCGAAAGAAGGAGCGAGAAGCTCCTGAGTCAAGGGTGAAGGTGTGCAAGGTCGCAGCAGGCGAAGAAACAGAGAGGGCAGACTCACCAGGACTTGGAGCAGCAGCCTCACCAGCACCTAGAGCAGCAGCCTCACCAGCACCTAGAGCTGGAGACGCAGTAGCACCTAGAGCAGCAGCCTCACCAGCACCTAGAGCAGGAGACGCAGTAGCACCTAGAGCAGCAGCCTCACCAGTACCTAGAGCAGCAGGCGCGATGCGTGGGTCAGGCGGCGCACACAGGTAACAGGCACGGTCAGCACTAGTAGGCAATGCATACATGGCAGTGAGAATAGCATCGTAGTCAAGAGCAAATATATCTACTCTCTGCCTAAGTAGCTCCACCCAGTCGGGGAGCTCAGCCCCGTCGCCAAACTCGGTGCGCCAGGCGTCGCTCAGACGGGCGAAGCAGCGGGACTGCGTGTGACTAGGTGTCCCGCAAGGCTGACCAGTCCGAGCACCAGTGCGAATGACGTAAGAGCAGCGAACAGAACTGAGAGACCCTCTACTCTGAGCGTACCACTCACGAAGCTGCTGGGGCGTGCGAGACTCGCGTGGACGACAGTGTAGCTGCATCTGGCCACCGCCAGTAGCAGCAGCAGCAGTAGTGGCAGCAGTAGCAGCGCGGCCACCCCTACAACCCCAACTAGCGGACCAATCACGCAGCTGCTGGGGCGTGAGGGACTCACGCGGACGTCGCTGGGGCTGCATCTGGCGTCGGCCAGTAGCAGCAGGTCAGGCAGGCAGGCAGGCCGGCGGCGCGGCAGCGCGCTAGCAAGGCAGGGGCTCACCAGTAGGAGGAAGAGCAGGCTCTCACCGGGCGAGCAGGGCCGGTGCTCGGCGGACGGCGGCAACAGCAGGGCCGTGGCTGCGGCTACAGTGAAGGGCCGGATCGAGTCAGCGGCAGGGCAGGGCCGGGTCGTGGCAGCGGCAGGGCAGGGCCGGGTCGTGGCAGCGGCAGGGTGGGGCCGTGGCGGCGGTAGGGTGGCGCGAGCCGCTGCCGGGGGCCGTGCACTGGCGGGTAGGGCGCGGCGCGGGCCGCGCGGACGGCGCGCAGCGCGATGCGGGCCGCAGACGCGCCGCGCGGACTTGGGGCGAGCTGCGCGGGGCAGCGGCGGGCCGCGCGCGCGTCGCGCGGGCTCGGGACGGGCTGCGCGGGGCAGCTGCGGGCCGCGCGCGCGTCGAGCGGGCTCGGGACGGGCTGCGCGGCAGACAGCGCGACGGCGGGCAGCGCGGCAGGCAGTGCGACGGGTGGGCAGCGCGGCGGGCAGCGCGGCGGGCGGGCAGCGCGGCGTGCAGCGCGACGGGCGGGCAGCGCGGCGAGCGGGCAGCGCAGCGGGCGGGCAGCGCGGCGTGCAGCGCGACGGGCGGGCAGCGCGGCGAGCGGGCAGCGCAGCGGGCTGCGCGACTGGCGGGCGACGCGGCAGGCAGCGCGACGGTGGGCAGCGCGGCGGGCAGCGCGGCGGGCAGCGCGACGGGCGGGCAGCGCGGGCGCACGAGGGCGCTAACGAGGGGCGCACGAGGGCGCTAACTGGGGCGCGTGAAGGCGCTAACGAGGGGCGCGCGAGGGCGCAGCGAGGGCGCGCGAGGGCGCTAACGAGGGCGCGCGAGGGCGCTAACGAGGGCGCACGAGGGCGCAGCTAGGCTAGGGCACGGGGTAAGCGTGGTAACCGCATGCGAGCGGTGGTGGGCCCTAAAAAAAACGGTCGGTAGGTCATAGGGACCTCCTGCTCTGATACCATGTCAACAAGACTAGGCAAGAATGGTGCATTGAATGAGAAAGTTGGGTACAAGTAGCACATCCTAGTTGGGGTTGTACCCCATATTGGCTACCCCACTACAGCCTACCAACATGTAACACATTACAATTTGACATAGCAAACCCTAATCTGGGCTGTACTCGCTATAGAGTACCCCACTGCAGGCTAGACAAACATCACATTCTGACATAGGTATGGATCTATATATCATGCCCCATCATTACATTCATTTAAGCATGCGTGGCGTCTAATTCATTATTAAAATTCATAACATTTATTACATGCAATTATCACAACATCAAACAGTAAAAGATGCACGCATGAAAAGTTTTGTGCATAAATGTCATACAAACAGTATAGCATTTATGCACAAAATTCTTACTAATTTGCTACCAATATTCAGAACACTTCAACATGCACAATGGGAAGGGTGGTACTGTAGCTTACGAATTTTATTTTCATGTTTTATTTAAAAAAATCATGAAAAAAAATGTAAAAATCGATCGTAAGGGTTGCTTCGCAACCCAAAAAAGTCACGCAATGCTGCTTCTGAGCAGCTTCGTTTTATTTACTTTCCCCCGTACCCACTCAGTAAAGCGGATGTTTCCCTTATGCACGTTTCTGATACGAAATGAAGTCCCATCCATTCCACCACTCAAATTTCGCGCATTCCTTCTTCTGACGCGCACCCTCCGCTCCGCAGACTTCCTCCGTCATACCGCCCCGCAAGACCACAGGCGTAACGGGGAATTAATTTCAACACACCAGCTCTGCACCATCCGCGTCCCCTTTTCCCACCACCTTCACACTACCTAGCTTTTCCGGGTTGTGTGTCACCGCCGTCGTTCACGCCGCCACGCGCGGCGCAGTTAGGCCAGCGGGCGCGCGGCAGGCGTAGCTCGCACGTTAGTCTAAAGCCGCCTCATGCGACCGCGCACTCTTGCCGCCCAGCCGCGGCAGCTGCATTCTCTTCGCCTCGCGTAGCCCAGCCAGTGGTTGAACGCCACGCGTCAGTTCGGGCGCTCTTCGCGCGCCGCCTGGATGGAGCCAGGCGGAGGGGGGAGGGGGAGAGGGGGAAAGGGGGCACGGAGGGGGAAAATCGGGGGAGGTGCACGAGGGAGGAGAGGCAGTGCGAGGGGGGAGGCGGTGGGCGCGGTGGCGGAGGGGGCTGCAGGGACGTGGTGGGCTAATGGTGGGGGCGCGGGGGGATATGTGGGAGCAGGAGGACTCGCGGCGGGGGAAACGGGATGGGGCGCGGGGGAGGGCGCGGGGGTTGGTTCAAGCGCGTGCGGAGGGGCAGCGACAGCGTGGGAGGGCGGAGGGACGGGCGGAGGAGTGGGAGCGGTGGGCGGAGGAGGGGAAGCAGCGAATGCAGCGGAGGGATGGACAACAGGGGGAGGCGCGGAGGGATGGACAGGGGGAGGCGCGGAGGGGCGTGTATCCCGCCGCAGGGGAGGCAGGGGGAGGGGCGCGGATGGCAGAGCAGGCGGGAGGAGCGTGCGCGCACGCGAGGGCGCGGGGCGGGGGAGGATGGCGGGTGGAACGGGACAAACGGACGGCAGTCGCGGGCGGGGGGTGGTGGAGCGCGGAGGGAGGGGCGCCGGTGTGGCGCGCGGACAGGAATGGACGGGGACGGGCGCACATGCTCGTGGGGATGCGCGGACGAGAGGGGGGAACGCTGGCAGGGGGTGGGACGCGGACGGGGGAATGGGCTACCTGGATGGGCGGGTGTGTGGTGGAGAGGCTTTGGGAGCGGTGGGAGGGCATAAGGGGCGTGTGGATAGGGAGGAGTACGAAGGTGCAGCAAGGGTTGGGAGAGTGGAGATGGCATGGGGGGGTGATGGCGCGGAAGAAGAGGATGGGTGGGGCGGAGAGGCACACGGAAGGCAGCAGATGGTGGGTGCTGCGCGAATGCACCGTGACCACCTGCTGCCCGGCACGCAGCACCAGCAGCAGCAGCATCATCTTCAGCAGCGTCAATATGAGCAGCAAGGGCAGGAGGGAAGGGGTGGCGAGGGGCAGTTTCGTGGTGCAACAGGCGGGTGGGTGGAGGGTGGGCGGCAGCAGGCGTGGCAGGTTGGCGGTGGAGTGGATGGGGGTGGAGGGTTTGTGGGTGCGGAGGAGCTTGGGCGCAACGGCGGGGATGCGGCATGGGGGGATGAGGCATGGGGGGAGTGGTACAATGGGGACGGTGGCGGAGCGGCAGAGGAGGAATGGGAAGGAGAGGGAGGGTCGGAGTGGGGGGCAGAGGGAGCGGAGGAGTGGGGAGGAGAGGCAAGGGAGGAGGGTGAGGGTGGGGAGGAGGACTATGAGTTGGGCTATGCTGCTGGCCTCGCTGCTGCTCGTGAGGCTCTCAGACAAGCCTCTGCCGCCACCGATTCTGCTGCCGCTGCTGGTGTTGGTGGTGGCGGGGCGGCTGCTGTTGGCGCTGCTTCCACGGGTGGGGTTGGCGAGGGGGCAGTGGCCGGTGCTGCTGCAGCAAGCGCCATCGATCTCATGCTGCCTCACCACCCGCCTGCTGCAGCACCAGGCAGCGCAGCAGCTGCTCCTGACACAGCGGATGGCCCTCATGCGTCCACTGCAGCACCAGCAGCAGCGGCAGGCGAGGGCGCAGGTGAGCAGGAAGGGGCAGGCAGCGGCGGCAGCAGGCGGCGCGGCGGGGGAGGCGGGGGAGGCGGGGGAGGCGGGGGAGGCGGGGGAGGGAGCAGAGGGGGGCGGCGCAAGCACATGGACGTGAGTGTGAAACGCGACATCTGTGAGCTGCGGCGCCTGCGACCGGGCATTACGGTGGGCGGCATCATGCGTGTGTGCCGCGCCAAGTACCCGCACATGCGCCTCATCCCCTCCCACGTGCGCCGCATCCTGGACAAGGCGGACCACTGGAGCTCCACGCTGGCGCAGCGCAGCAGCAAGCGCGTGCGCGCGCCTGAGAGCATGGCGCTGGAGGAGGCGCTGGTGGCGTGGCTGAGAGATGTGAAGGGCGGCCCCGGCGCCACCAAGGTGCAGCTGCAGCACATCTGCGCCAAGGGCCGCGAGCTGGGGCCGTCCTACGGGGTGTCGCCCTCCTTCAGGTGCTGCCAGGGTTGTGGGGAGGGCACACGGGGTACTGTGCCATGCGTAGCTTGCTTGCTGCTTCCGCTGCTCCCTCTACCCCTCGCCTCTCCCCCTCGCCTCTCCCCCTCGCCTCTCCCCCTCGCCTCTACCCCTCGCCTCTCCCCCTCGCCTCTACCCCTCGCCTCTCCCCCTCGCCTCTACCCCTCGCCTCTCCCCCTCGCCTCTACCCCTCGCCTCTACCCCTCGCCTCTCCCCCTCGCCTCTCCCCCTCGCCTCTACCCCTCGCCTCTCCCCCTCGCCTCTACCCCTCGCCTCTCCCCCTCGCCTCTACCCCTCGCCTCTCCCCCTCGCCTCTACCCCTCGCCTCTCCCCCTCGCCTCTACCCCTCGCCTCTACCCCTCGCCTCTCCCCCTCGCCTCTCCCCCTCGCCTCTACCCCTCGCCTCTCCCCCTCGCCTCTCCCCCTCCTGCCTCCTCTCCCATGCCATCTCAAGGCTTTCCTATGAACCTCCCTCCCCCTTCCCCCGTGCTCCCTGCAGGTACAGCATCGGGTGGGCATGTCGCTTCCAGGAGCGGTGGGGGTTCTCAAAGCGGCACCTGGAGGAGGAGAGGGAGGCGTACTTCAATGACGACCCCGCTGCTGCTGCCGCTGCTGCCACGGGCAGTGCGGAGCCGTCGCTGGTGCAACTGGCTGATGAGATCTTTGGCGCCCAGATCCTGGTGGTGCGCATGGATGGTGGTGCTGAGGCGCATGGGGAAGGGGAGGGGGAGGAGGGGGAGGAGGGGGATGAGGACGGGAGTGAGGAGGATGATATGGACGGGGGTGAGGAGGACGGAAGGGGTGAGGGCGCGAGGGAAGGAAGGGGAGGGAGTAGAAGGAGGGTAGGGAGGGGAGGGAGGGGATTAGTGGGAAGGGCGGGTGGGAGGGAGGGAGGGAGGGGTGCATGGAAGGGAGGAATGAGGGTGGTGAGGCGGGACACGTCACTGACGGCCGGCAGAGAGGTAATCGACCTGGAAGGGGGTGGAGGGGGAGAGAGAGAGGGGAGGGGCGAAGGTGGGGAGAGGGGTGAGAGGGGGGAAGGGGCGGAGAGGGACGAGGGGCAGCTGCGGCGGAGGGGCCAGGGCGGGTCAGGGGAGCGGCCGCAGCAGGGCAGGGAGCAGGCGGGTGGGGGGACAGGCGAGGAGGGCGATGGGGGCCGGGCGTCACAGGCAGAGGCAGCAGAGGCAGGTGGGTGGCAGGGCGGAGCAGAGCTGCTGGCAGGCACGGCAAGAGGCGCAGCACGAGAGAGGGCGAGGAAGAAGGCAGCAGGCCGGGCGGCACGTGCTGTGCAGCCCAGCCGAGAGCTGCTGGCGCTGGCACTGGCCGAGGCTGGCGTGGATGGGGAGCAGGCGGGTGGAGGCGTGGAGGGAGCAGGTGGGTGTGACTCAGACGCTGCAGCACGCTCAGAGGCAGACGAGCGAGTCACACGGGCAGCGCCGCCACCAGGGGCAGCGGTGAGGGGTGTTGCAGCAGCAGCAATAGCGGGAGGGGCTCTGGTTGATGTGGAGGCGGCAGTGGCAGCAGCAGGGGACCTCCACCTGGACCTCCACAGCGATGAATCCAGTGGTGGTGACGCCCATGGTGGTAGGCTGCCCGCGGATAGGCAGCGTGCTGCAGGCAGGGAGAAGCGGGCGCCGGGCGGGAAGGGCAAGCACCGGGCGGCCATCAGCCTGCGGGTGAAGCGAGTGATCTGCATGCTGAGGGCCGCCCGCCCCGACATGGCGCCCAAAGACATCCACCGCCTCGTGCACCGCGCCTTCGCTGCCGCCGCCTGCCATCCCCAAGCACCCTCCACCACCACCACCGGTGCCACAGCCGCTGCTGCTGGCAGGGCAGCGAGCTTGGCCGCGGGGGGAGTTGCGGCGGCAGGCGTGGAGGCGGAGGGAGTGGCGGCGCTGGACGTGGCAGCGGTGCGGCGCATCCTGAGGAAGAGCAGCGTGTACCTCGCCCTGCCCGCCCACAGCACCACCCTCATCCGCCACAGCAGCGGCGCCCACCCCCACGTGCAGGCCGCCGTGGCGGCGTGGGTGAGGGCGATGGAGGCACGGTACGGGCGAGAGGCCCTGCGGTGGGATGATATCCTCGAGTATGCCCGGCAGGTGGGGCCGCAGATGGGCGTGGACGAGGGGTTCCGGTATAGCTACCACTGGGCTCGCAAGGCCCTGCTGCGGCATGGGCTGGGGAGCAACTGGGGCAAGCAGGTGGGGGGTGGGGGTGGCGAGAAGAAAGGTACGGGAAGGAGTGAGGGAGGAGGAGATGGAGGGGAGATGTCAGTTGATGGTAGCACCACTGATGGAAACACGACTGATGGAAACACTACTGAAGGGCAGAGCAGTGATGGTGGAGGGACGGATGAGGAGAGGGAGGAGGGGCGCCGCTCACTGCACTCTCACCGCCCTGCTGCCGCTTCTCCTGCTCCTGCTACTGCTGCCGGGTGTGCTGGGCAGCCAGAGGGGGGAGAGGAGCAGCAGGAGGGGCCGCTGGACCGACTGCAGCGGCTGGCGGAGAAGTGGGCTGCGGAGGCACGGGCGCAGGGGCAGGCGCAGAGGCGCACAGAGGAGGGGGCGGGCGGCAGGCAGCGGCGGTGGCGCCACACGGTGGTGCCGCCCGCTGTGAAGCTCGCCATGTGCGCCCTCGCCCGCGCCCTCCCCTCCCTCCCCTCCAGGGCCATCGCCCGCGCTGTTGGCGCCAGGTGCGTTGTGCCGCTGCCTGCCTGCCACACATAATACCGCACTCCGTGTCTTTACACGACAAGACACATTGGACAGGTTTTGGGAACCTTAGGTTTTGGCGAAACTCTGTTTGCAAATTTTCGTAGTGTGAATGAAACCATGCAGCCCAAGGTCAAGCCATTCGGCTCTCCTCCTGCCAAATGCAGCGTGTCATTCTGAGAATATACATATCTTGAATCAAAATATACATTTGCATCTTCTCCAACCCTCCCTCCCTCCCTCCCTCTCCCCCTCCCTCGCTTCCTGTTGCATTCCTCAACACTCGTGATTAACAAGCCCAGCCCTTTCTCTTCAAGGACTTGTTCTCATTGCTATCAACGCTTCTGACCGCAAGTCATCAATGTGCTCTCTTTCGGTTTCCTCCACCCGCCTCCACACCTTTCTTTTTCTCCCTTCGCCCCTCACTTCTTCCCTTTCTGCGGTGCCCTCCTCTTTGGCATGTATGGGATGGGATTGGATGCAATGGCATGGCATGTCTCGGCATGGCATGGCATGGCATGGCATGGCATGGCATGGCATGGCATGGCATGACATGGCTTGGCATGGCATGGCATGGCATGGCATGGGATGGCATGGCATGGGATGGCATGGCATGGCATGGCATGGCATGGCATGGCATGGCATGGCATGGCATCAGGTACGGCATGAGGCTAACGAGCGTGTCACTGCCAGCGGTGCTGCTGAGGGAGGACGAGTGGAGGCAGGCGGTGCACCTCTCCCGCTCCGCCAGGCCAGGCGCCGTCACACTGCGCAGTGCTGAGGCCCGCCTGGAGGAGGCTCTTGCTCTCGCAGTGAGGAAGGCTGTAGCGAGGATGGAGGAGGACAGGCGAGCTGCAGGGGGTGGGCGGGGGGACGAGGGGGGGAGCAGAGTGGGGCCGGGGGTGGGGCAGCAGCAGGTATCGGTGCGGGCGGTGCAGGAGTATGCGAGGCGGCTGGCCCCGCTGGTGGGGGTGGGTGCGGGATTCACGTGCAGTGTGGCATGGGTGCAGCAGTTCCTGCAGCGCTGGGGCTTCCATGCACCCCCTGGGGGGCGGGGTGCTCGAGGTAGTGCGGCGAGGGGGCGAGGGGGAGAGCGGCTGGGTGGGAGGGGGGGGGTAGATGCTGGGGCAGAGGATGAGTTTGAAGGAGGGGGAGGGGAGGAGGGGGAGGAGAGTGAGGGGCAGGGAGGGGTGGGCAGGAGGATAAGGGGCATTCTGGACGAGCGGTGTGAGGTGCGCGAGGAGGAGGTGGCAGCGCTGGTGGCGCTGGCAGAGCAGCAGCGGGAGAGGCACGCGCAGATCAAGGCAAGTGGACGCCGGCTGACTGACGTGCGCGAGGAGGAGTGGATAGAAGCGGGGCGGCGGGATGGTGGTGGTGGGCGGTGCAGGGCGGCAGGGGATGGGATGGAGAGTGACGGTGGGGATGGGGATGGGGATGGGGATGGGGATGGGGATGGGGATGGGGATGGGGATGGGGATGGGGATGGGGATGGGGATGGGGATGGGGATGGGGATGGGGATGGGGGCATCACTGGAGACAGTGATGGTGGGTTTGACGGCACGGACACTGATGGCGCTGCCTTTGACACAGACGCTGACCTGGACCTGCCCGCCTTCCATGCCCATACCAACCCCCATGCTCCCGCCATTACTCCTGCCATCACTGCCCCTCCTGCCATCACTGCCCCTCCTGCCATCACTGCCCCTCCTGCCATCACTGCACAACGTGCTCTACATCTTGCTGCTGCTGCGCCTGCCCCTGTGCATGTCCCCATGACCCCTGCGCATACCCCCATGACCCCGCCACCCCAAGTGAGCACCCTGCTGGCGTCACTGGCCGGCGTGCGGGTGGCATCTGCCGCCCAGGCCGCCCCCCAGCTGCAGGCTGCGTGGGCCGCCCTGGCCGTTGCCACCCCCTCCCCTAGGCAGCTCACGGCCCACCGGGCGGCAGAGGTGGCGCGGGCATGGCGCCGCCTTGAGAGGACCCGCGTGGTGGTGTGGGAGGGGGTTGCTGGGAGTGAGGGTGGTGAGGGGAGTGAGAGCATGAGCGTGGAGGAAATTGGAGGGATAGGCAGCAGCATGGAGGAGTGGGAGTGGGAGGAGGGGATAGTTGGCGCGGTGGCAGCGAGGAGCACGCGAGGGGCCAAGCCTGGTGGGCGAGGGAGGAAGAGGAGGAGGAGCGCGGATGCGCAGGATGGTGTGGTGACAGCACGGGCGGGGGCTGCAGCAGCGGGGAGTGGGGCGGCCATGGCAGGCAGGGGAGCAGCAGGCGGAGGGCAGGTGGCAGCAGGCGGGCAGCAGCAGGTGTCAGCGGGTATGGCAGCCCCTCTGCTGTCCCCCGACCTCATAGTGGCAGCGGCCCTGCGAGCTGCTCTCCCCCCCCACCCCATGCCCTCTCAGCCTGCTCCTCACGCCCTGCGCTTCCCGTTCCCCCACGCTGCTCCACCTGCCACCACCGCACTCCACTCCCTCGTGCAGCTGCTTGCATGTGGTGGCATGCCATCCGGCCATCTCCCTATCGCCAGGCCACACGGCCTTGGCTGGGGACAGCCGCTGCTCACTGCCCCTCCCCCTTCATCCCATGTTGCTCCCCCTTCATCCCATGTTGCTCCCCCTTCATCCCATGTTGCTCCCTCTCTCACAACGCCGCCTCCCCCTCGCTCTCTCACTGCGCTCCTCACTTCACTCACATCCACCCAACCGCCTCCCTCCACCACAGCTGCTGCTTCTCCCGCTGATGCCTCTGTAGCAGCAAGAGCTGCTGCTATTGGCCCTGTGACATGTGCTGCTGCAAGCGCAACACCTGCTCTTGCTGCTGCTTCTCCTTTGGCCGCCCCCGTCCCTCCATCTGCTGCTGTTCATGCTCGCGATGCCCCCACTCCCACTGCTGTTCCTGTGCCCGCTCCTTGTCGTGTTCCCGCTGCTAATTCCTCTGCTCCTGCTCCTGTTCTTGCGCCCGCTTCGGCCACCACTGCTGCCAGCAGTGCTGCAAATAAGGGTGCCTCTCATCCAGCTGTTGCCACTCATGAGTCTGCCGTTGCTGCAACTGATGCTGCTGTTCCTGTGGTTCCACTAGCCAATGCTGCCACTGCCACTGCACCTGCTGCCACTGCCACTGCACCTGCTGCTACTGCCACTGCACCTGCTGCTACTGCCACTGCACCTGCTGCTACTGCCACTGCACCTGCTGCCACTGCCACTGCACCTGCTGCCACTGCCACTGCACCTGCTGCCACTGCCACTGCACCTGCTGCCACTGCCACTGCACCTGCTGCCACTGCCACTGCACCTGCTGCCACTGCCACTGCACCTGCTGCCACTGCCACTGCACCTGCTGCCACTGCCACTGCACCTGCTGCCACTGCCACTGCACCTGCTGCCACTGCCACTGCACCTGCTGCTACTGCCACTGCACCTGCTGCCACTGCCACTGCACCTGCTGCCACTGCCACTGCACCTGCTGCCACTGCCACTGCACCTGCTGCCACTGCCACTGCACCTGCTGCCACTGCCACTGCACCTGCTGCCACTGCCACTGCACCTGCTGCCACTGCCACTGCACCTGCTGCCACTGCCACTGCACCTGCTGCCACTGCCACTGCACCTGCTGCCACTGCCACTGCACCTGCTGCCACTGCCACTGCACCTGCTGCTGCCGACACATCTCCTGCTGCTGCTGCAGCGGCAACTGCATCCAATGACCCGGAGGTCGGTCATACACCAACTCTTTCACCTTAAGCTGCCTCTGCGCCTCTTGCTGCCGCCCTCACTGTAACTGATGCTGCTACTGGCAACCATAGATCACAACTTTCAGCTGTACCTGCGACAACTGCCATTGCACCTGCTGTCAGAATGTTATTTGTCTAGCCTGCAGTGGGGTGCTCAATAGTGAGTACAACCCCTTAGGGTTTGCTATTTGTGTGTTCTGCTGCTTGCTAGTCACCATTCATTCTTCGTTCCAATTCTCCTTCGTAAACCCTAACTCCTAGTTCTAGAGCACACCCACCTACCTCCTAGTGTGGGCCTAGGCTACTAAGCCTAGGCCCCACACCTACGATTCTAACATGGTATCTAGAGCCGGCGAGATACTGCCGCCTAGTTCATCGGGCCCACCAACTCCTTCCGCTGTCGTACTATCCGCCGCGCGCCCCGTGGTGCGCGGCATTGCATTTTCTTCCCGCCACGCGCTCCGAACACGTGGCGGCTTCTTCTGCCCGCCGCGCGCTCGGGGCGCGCGGCGGTTATCCCGTCCGTCGAAGCGTCCTTGGGGGGGCCTGCGCGCTGCCCTCCCTGCTGCTCGTCGCGACGCCCGTGCGGGACCCGCGGGGCGTCGCCCTTACTCGTCGCGGCGCCCCCTGGGTGCTGCCCCTTCTCGTCGCGACGCCCGTACGGGACCCGCGCAGCGTCGCCCTGCTCGTCGCGACGTCCGTGCGGGACCCGCGGGGCGTCGCCCCTGCTCGTCGCGACGCCCGTGCGGGACCCGCGGGGCGTCGCCCCTGCTCGTCGCGACGCCCCCTGCGGGACCCGCGGGGCGCCGTCAGAGCCTGCAGCAGCAGCCGCCGCTCTACCAGCAGCAGCAGCCGCCGCCGCTCTGCAGCAGCAGCCGCCGCCGCCCTGCAGCAGCAGCCGCCGCCAGGCCTGCAGCAGCAGCCGCCGCCAGAGCCTGCAGCAGCAGCCGCCGCCAGAGTCTGCAGCAGCAGCTGCCACCAGAGCCTGCAGCAGCAGCCGCCGCTCTACCAGCAGCAGCAGCCGCCGCCGCTCTGCAGCAGCAGCCGCCGCCGCCCTGCAGCAGCAGCCGCCGCCAGGCCTGCAGCAGCAGCTGCCGCCACCGAGCCTGCAGCAGCAGCCGCCGCCAGAGCCTGCAGCAGCAGCCGCCGCCAGAGCCTACAGCAGCAGCCGCCGCTCTACCTGCAGCAGTTGCCGCTGCCGAGCCTGCAGCAGCAGCCCCTGGAGCAGCCAGTCACTGCAGCAACCGCCCCTGGAGCAGCCCGCCACTGCAGCAGCCGCCCCTGGAGTTTGCCCGCCTTTGTTCGAGAGTGTGGGGTTGACGGGTATGGGGGTGCTTCGTGTGCGTCGTCCCTTCCTCCTCCTTCGTCTCCCACTGCTGCAGCTGCCGCTGAGGGGGGTGGATGTGTGGGAGCCGAGGGGACTGGCGCTAGGGGGGGTGATATGGGAGTGGAGCTAAGGGTGGACCAAGGGGTGTGTGTCGAGGGGTGTGGGACTGTTGGGGGAGGTTGAGCGGAGACCGCCGTCGTGTCGTCTACAGCGCCTGTACTCCGGGGCGCTCAATCCCAGTAGCTCAGAGAGCCGGTTGCACCTGTCGCCCGTGGGTCCGTTGCTCCTGCCGCTGCTGTTCAACCGCCGAGCCTGTTACTCCTGTATTCCGGGGCCTTTCTCCTCCCGGTAGCCACCAGCGTTGCACCAGAGCCGTCTGTTGCCCGTGTGTCTGCAGCTTCAGTCGTCGCCTCCACTCTTCTCTCATCTCGCCAGCCCTCCTCCTCCTCACTTGCCCTCTGTGACTGCCTCTAGCTCTGCTTACAATTTATAAACTATTGGTTCTTGAACTTGTGCTCAGAATGTGTGGTGACGTCGTGATCCACCCTGAGCTTGTACTGCTTTGTGTGCTCTGCTGATTACACCCCACTTTGGCTATGGGGGTGTGTCAGAATGTTATTTGTCTAGCCTGCAGTGGGGTGCTCAATAGTGAGTACAACCCCTTAGGGTTTGCTATTTGTGTGTTCTGCTGCTTGCTAGTCACCATTCATTCTTCGTTCCAATTCTCCTTCGTAAACCCTAACTCCTAGTTCTAGAGCACACCCACCTACCTCCTAGTGTGGGCCTAGGCTACTAAGCCTAGGCCCCACACCTACGATTCTAACACCTGCTGCTGTGGCCACTGAGCTTCCTGCTAGTGTGGCTGCTCCAACAACTGATTCTGCTGTTGGTTCTGCCACTCCCTCACACAAGACATGATTAGAGCCCAGTCTACTAACCAACTACGCGTACGATTCCAACGTTTCAAAAGACCAGGCTCATGTAAGTCAAAAATCTGTATTTGTTAGTTGTAGGCTACACTGAGGTGTTCTTTAAAGAGTACAGCACTTTTAATGTTTGGTACTAGTATCACCCTTGTCAGGCCCCCAGAAGTCAGAGAAATTTCTCTGATTTGCATGAAAAACTCTGATATTTTCATATTTTTCTTTCCAGTGTACTCCGAATATTTCAGAATTTTTAGGGTCTCAACACTGAAAGTTTCATATTTTTTCGGGAGTGTACTCTGATTTTTTAGAGTACAAACGCGTATCGACTCTGATTCAATGTACCTTGGTGCGATGCGAATACCCAAGATTACCTGCTGCACCATGTGTGACTGTGAGAGTGTAATGGTGCGAGCAGCTCTGTCCCTGGTGATCTGCAGCCCAAGGTAATGGCGCAGCTCACCAAGGTCAGTGCACGTGTGTCTCTTCTGCAGTTCGGACTTCACGTCTGCCAAAGCAACCCTGTCAGCATCCTTGCGCGCTTTGTTGCGCCAGGGAGACACCGTCCTGTTCACTGGACAGCAGCTGTGAGGGTGGCGAAGTACCTAGCGACGACATCAGGCGTGGGGCTAGTTCTTGGAGGGCAGCAGTCTGTTGTACTTACTGGTCACTGTGACTCTTCTTACGCTGACGACGCTGAGACTCACAGGTCTACTCAGGGGTACTGTTTCAGTCTGGGTTCTGGAGCTGTTTCCTGGCGGTCCACGCGCTCCTCTTCGGTCTCGACCTCTACAGCTGAGGCTGAGATCTACGCTGGTGCCATGGCGGCGCAGGAGCTGCGTTGGTTGACGTTCTTGCTCGCCGACCTGGGTGAGCGGCCGAGCTCTGCACCGACCTTGTTCACTGACAACAAGGCATCCATTCTCCTTTGTCGAGAGCCGCGACTGGAGAGCAGAGTGAAGCACATTAACGTCAGGTACTTTCTTCTGCGAGAGTTGCAGAGGCGTGGACAGGCTCGCTTCGAGTTTGTGGAGTCTGAGGCCAACACTGCAGACATCTTCACCAAGGCGCTTCCGCCTTGTGACCACCACAGGTGTTGTGTGCAGTTAGGCCTTGTTGACACTGGTTTTCGGCTTACTTAGTCTTGAGTTCACTGCTTGCTTTGCTTGTACCCTTTATATATATCTCTGTTATTGTTTGGACTGGCCTTGTGGCCATTGTTGCTTGTGCTCAGAGTTTGTGGTGACGTTGTGATCCACCCTGAGCTTTGTTTCTTTGTGACTGGTCTTGTGACCGTACTCTTTTGGTTTTGCTAGACACCCCTCACTTAGGCTATGGGGGTGTGTCAAATGTTGGTAGCCTGTAGTGAGAT